CCCCAAAACCCCAAAACCCCAAAACCCCAAAACCCCAAAACCCCGCTAGGAAGGGCTTTTTTGAATAATAATTTAACCATTTTATTATATTTATTATGTCAAAGAGTTCTGAGTGCGTTAAGGTTATTGTAAGATGACGCCCGTTTGTGAAAACAGAGAAACAAAAGAAGTGCAAGTCTATTATTGAAGTAGATCAGCAGATATCCCAGATTTCGATAAAGAAGAGCGATAACTCGTATAAGACCTTCAGGTATGATGCAGTTGCAACAATGGAGTCTTCACAAGTGGATGTGTATACAAATAGTGCTTTCAGCATGATAGAATCTGCAATTCAAGGGTATAATGCGACTATATTTGCTTATGGCCAGACCGGGTGAGGTAAAACACATACAATGATTGGAGAAATGGATGATGAAAATCTTAAAGGAATTATGCCCAGAAGCTTCGAACACATATTTTCAGTGATTAATAGTAATGAAAAGCCTGACGATCGTAAGTATTTGGTAAGGTGAAGCTTCATTGAAATTTATAATGAAGATATTCATGATTTACTCTCCAAAGATCCCAGAAAGAAGAAGGAGATTAAAGAAGACCCTAATATGGGTGTATTTGTTAAAGGAGCTACCATGTCTATAGCAAAGACATTGGCGGATATAAAGAAAGCCCTCGCTCTTGGCTCTAAAAATAGAAAGAAAGGAGAGACTTTAATGAACAAAGACTCAAGTCGTTCCCATTGCATGTTTACAGTCTATGTTGAAACTCAAGAAAGCATTGCAAAGAGTGATAAAATAAAAGTTGGCAAGCTCAATTTAGTTGATCTTGCTGGGAGTGAGAGGCAGAAAAAGAGTGGAGCTGCCAATCAAAGACTAAAAGAAGCCAGTAATATCAATCTATCCCTTACTTCTCTAATGAATGTTATCAGTGCATTAGTGAATAGTAAGAAGACTCATATACCATACAGGGATTCTAAGCTAACCAGATTGTTAGAGGATTCATTGGGTGGTAATACAAAAACATGTATGATTGCCAATATCTCTCCTGCTGACTACAACTTTGAGGAAACAATGTCTACACTGAGATACGCTAATAGAGCCAAGAATATTAAGAATAGGCCTAAGATTAACCAAGACCCAAAGGACACCCTCCTCAAAGAATATTTGGAGGAAATTAAAAGATTAAAAACAATGCTTGATGATATGAAGGATGGGAAGGAAGTCAAGATCTCAATACCAAGCATGAAGGCTGCTTCGAGACCATCCACTAGAAACGGTGATCTAGATGACCTGGAATTATCTAAGAGTGAATTACTCTCCGAAGATGAGAACGGGAGAAGATATTCTATCCTTTCCGATGAAGAATACAAAAACTCAGAAGAGTATCAACAGGTGTTACAAAAGAAGGAAGAAGAGCTAAACCAAGAGAAGAACCAAAAGCAAGAGCTTGAGAATGCCTTGAAAGAACTTGAAGAGAAACTTGCACAGAGCAACAATGTTGAGAAGGAAGAGATGGTGAAAATGCAGCAGTACAGAGAGATACAGTTAAAACTTGAAGAAGAAAAAGCGATTCAAGATAAGTTATTGAAAGAGAAGCTTCAAAAAGAAGAGGAGATGATCCTTGTTGAGAGAGACTATCAAACACTCCAAGAAGAAGTTGATGAACAGAGGAAATTGATTAGAGTCCTGAGGAATAAATATAAAGATGCAGTGGAGGAGATCAAAGATCTCAGTGCTGAAGCCAATAATGAGAGAGAATATCTTGGAACTGCCTTGATGGAGATGCAAAAGGAAATGAGTCTTTATAAATCCATACTACATGGAGCTTTTAGTCATGATGAAATTGATAGGATCGTAGCAAGATCGAATTATAATCCAGATAACAAAGTCTGGAAGGTACCTTCATTCATGTTCAGGGCGAATAAGCTTAATTTGTTTAATAAGAATCACGATAGACTCCAAGACATGCAATCACAAGAAAGGAATACTCATACATTGCATTTTACGAGAGACAAAAGAAATGATTCTGAAGATCTTACTGGGAACGGTGCCTTACCTCCTCCTGCTCCTCAGACTCCCAACGGAACTAGATTTACTAGCAAATGGAATCAGAATAAAATTGGTAGAAAGACCCTAGCTGATTTTTCAAATGAAAGGAATGTAGCTAATCGATCTGAATACTATATTGGCATGGAGAAAGAGGTCAAGCCTAAGCTTAAAATAGTAAAGAAATTGACAAATTCAGGAAGTAAAGTCAAACTTGCTCCTCTGAAAGTGGGTCAGGAACTAACAGACTCCAGTCTTGAAAGCAATCCCAATATCACAAATATAAAATCAACCACAAATATGATGGAAGGCAAGAAGAAAAAGATAGTAGCAGCTGCGAAGCCTATAGATGTTGGCCCAGGGGTATTAGAAGATTCTGGAGAGCTAAAAGCAGAGGTAAAAGTTTCACAGGGTAAATCCAAGGTTAAAACGAAGACTAATCTTTTCTCTCGAGGCAAAGGATCCAAAAAGGCCAAAGGTCAACGAATAGGCAAACTTGTCTCATACATCGAATTATATTAGAATCTAAGGTTTATATTTAATGAAATTTTGAAATTAAAATACCATTTAATTCTTAGATTGTTTGAGATTTTGGGAGGCAGCATAATCATCTGATAATTTGATCCTATCAAAAGTGTTAACATACCATTAGTTGTCTTGCTACTTATGATTACTAAATAAAGATATGTATTTAAAATCTTGGTTATTGGCTCTAACTCCCCTATTTTTGAGTTGAGGTTCATGAAGGCCACCAAGTTTGCAAATTGGTGAAAGTCTGGCTAAATTTTATTGCTAATCGATCATTTAGAATATTGTAGATAATTTTCAGAATCTTCAATTCTATTATATTTAAGAGGGGTTTTGGGGTTTTGGGGTTTTGGGG